TTTTTTTCTTAAAAGTGTCACGGGAATACGTCACTCGAATATTTTAAAGTACTTATGTTACGTCCTGTATACCTGTTTTCACAGAAAACCCATAAATCAGGGATTGTCCGTTATTTATGGTAGTTTTCAAACCTGTTTCTCCGAAACGAAACATTTCCGGATCAAGTTTATTTGGACTTTTTGTCGTTAATTTGTCTCAGGAATACGTCACTTGAATACTTTTAACATACTTATGTTTCACCCTGTATACCTGTTTTCACAGGAAGCCCATAAATCAGGGATTTTCCGTTATTTCTGGTAGTTTCCTAAACTAGAATCAATTTTATAAGAGTTGATAGATAAGGAGAGTATAAAATGTTTGTAACTTGGTAGAAATTCATCATGTCAGCTTGAGGAATCTAATGTATGGGTTTTTGTAAAAGCTGTTATAGTTGAATTGAAATCTCCCCGTATTGTGGTGTATCAGTGGACACCCCACCCTACTTATGGTGTCATCAAATATTCACCTAATTATTATTTTGTTTTGCAGACCCCAATGGAACAACAGTACATTGTCCTTCAAGTTCCTGGCCCGAATACCCGAGTACGTACGCCCCTGCTCCATACAGTCCACAAACAACTTATTATGACCCGCATCAGGATTCAACGCATGGCACACCCATACACTTACCGACAGGTAAATGAGATTAATTACCGAAATATTCAATGACAATTCCGCGTGCAGTTATTCAAAGGAATACATACATAATGTTTGTATCGCAAAACAAATCCGAAACNAGCTTCTTTAGGTGTGTCTATACAATACAGTAGGCGTGCCTATACTATACAATATAGACACGCCTGAAGAAGCTATTATATAGCGAAACACTAGTTGTGTTTTTGTAAAAGTGAAAATCTCATAATAAAGTGTTTTTCGAATACGTTACAGATTTTCAGGCCACAAATATTTTTGGCACATCATCAGTAGCATACCACTACCGCAGTAGCAGATGGAATGTTTGGTACTTCAGGTTCCATTCGATCACGGCCTAGTAGGCCTCTATTTTGTTCTTTTCAATGTGACTCCGGCTATGAGAGCCTATGTTTTAATAATGAACAAAACGGTCTCTCCCAAAATGAAGGATTTCAGGCCGAAATTTTTATATTTCCTAAAAAAGTTCTACTCTGGTCCGAAACAAAATATAATATTTTTTAACGTCGCCTAAAGAGGTCGACGTGAAAATGAAAAAATTAAAGATGAATCAACCTAACCTAACTTGGAAAAAAATATACCTGTCACAATGTCATTCGAATAGTAATGTCTTTTGAGGAAATATTGGTATTTATGCCCTTATTCGCCGTTTTCTCTGTAAAGTGAAGCCCGCTTACGTAAGCCCGCTTAGAACTCAAGCCAAGCTTAAATGTTTGCGATATGCACCACAGAATATTAAACGTAGCTTGGCCAAGCGCCAAAATAACTTGGAAACGTTGTGTCTTTTCGGGTCTAATTACTGTTTACGCGTCAATTCTCAAATGACGAATTGGGGTTTCGTAGGTTTACTTTTACCTTGTTGTCGAAAAATATCAGAATCAGACAAAAGAACATACTTACCAGTGAATTTTCATATCTATTACTAGCGAAATGAATGAAAAATTGGGAGTTCCAAACTTTACCTCAACAGAGAATTAATTTTTGCAATTCAATCATAGCCCCGTATAATGCAAAATAAGGTCTCACTGACCACCCATAGAGAGAGAAATGTTCTACTCAGGACTACCTGAATCTCGGCCGATGGCCAGCTCTGCCGAACAATAATAATACAATAATACTATATATATGCAATTTCACATGTGATCAGGCATATCGTATATGATTGTATTTAAAAAAAGGAAAAATAATTGAATGTTTTTTTTACAAATCGTTTTCAAATTCTAAGGGCATGTTGGAACGAACATCGCATAAAAAGTGTGATTTAAAATGGCGCCGTGTTTATCGTAAAAAAGTTGAAAAAATTGAACTTTTTTGCGATTTTCGCAAAATTTTATACGTCAACATACAACAAATAGCATTATATTGCTATTATATTTTACTGTCGTCTTTTAAGCCAATACATCGAAATTGAATTCGAAATGGATGAATGTGTCAGGTTGTTCAAATTATATCAACTTTACCGTATATATAAAGCTCCATTGAGAAAACCCCGTCGTTATGGTGTGCGAAAAATTTTCAAAAACAGAGGAAAATATGGAGAATATCACAACCTAGCGGCTGAAATGAGAATTAGTGATCCAGAGAAATATTTCAACTATTTCAGGCTGACTCTCCCATTATTCAATAAATTATTGAATTTGGTTGGCCCTTCATTAAAGAAAACTCATTTTGCCAAAAAAACCCCTCGCTTCTGCACTTAAGTTGGCAGTAACGTTAAGATAAGTGGTTTGAAGACACGCTCCTATTAAACAAAACTTGAGAAAATTGTTAGTCCTATTTTCTGAAATGATGGGGTCTGGTTTCAAAAGTTGTAATTCGTATGAGTCGTATGTCATCATTCAGGTTCATGTAATAAAATTCAAAATTCAACAATAAAATCCTTAGATATTGCCCGCTCCAACATGAACAGGGTATTTTGNATAATTTAATGTACGGTGTGCGAACATCTATACCTTGATATGTATTGAGGGTTGCAGAAGAGTTCGTGATCAGCTTAGTAATGCTCAGTAGGTTTCGTCTTGAAATTTGGCTAGGAAACCATTCTTTTCTGCGGACGATGGATGGAGACTTCGATATTTTATGAAAATGTTCATATTTGTTTCGATAGCGTTCTTACTCAAGCGAAGAATTGAAGGTCTATTAGAAATTCTTACGATAATTTCGTTATTTTATTTAGTACCCAACATATTGTGAATTGGAGTTGTTTCCATCCGCATTGGATACCAGTATTTTCAGTTTCATGCGATGTAATATCAATGTTCTGTCTGTGAAACCAGTGGAATTTCTGTTATCAAGACGGCAGTTGAGTGCTGTCATCGTTTCATAAAGTTCACTATGTGCAAAAATGCAAAAAAATTGTTTGGGAGGAAAAACGTAAAAGTTGCTGACCCGTCAAAATTTGGATATTTTTTTTAACTTTGTTGTGGGGGCCCCTCTCCTGTGGAAGCCCTGGGGCAGTAGTCCCGCCTGCCCCCCCCAAAACCCGACTCTGGTGATCCGTGTACATGGATCACCAGGGTCAGATGTGAATGTGATTGGTCAGTGTGGCATGTGATAGTTTTTCAAACGGGCTTTGATTCCTTATCTAGGGACTGAAGAAAAAGGTCGATCGATAGAAAAGAAAGAGGTGGTATGTTTGATTTCGGAAAGTTTAAAGATCTTTTTTCATCCTTCATTTGAATCAAATTTAGTGTATTTTAATCAAGCTAGTTGTGTATGTGCGAACAATTTAGAGATTCATCAGAATTTGAACTTCAAAGGAGGATTCAAAAACACTTCATCTTTTTTTATTTTTCCAGCATAGACAATAGATAAGGCCGTAAATCGCTTGAAAAGGAAAGTAACGCTCGTTTTCACGAGGTCGTTTCACCATATACCATCAATACACATCAGCAATTGATAGAGTCCAAAAGAAGTTTTCAAAATTTCTTATTTTTAGAATGACTGGAACTTATCCTCCAAGAAACTGTGATTACCCTGATCTGCTATGCAGATTTGACTTTGTAGCCTTAGAAAAAAGAAGAAATCATAAACTACTCGTTGGAACCATCCATCACCACAGCATCTACAGGGTGTAGGTGTGTCCATACTTTTCAGCAATACTCTCAAGGGCATACACTCTTTCAAATGTTTTTGTCTGTAAAACTTCAAATAGTTGGTTTTTGGTATAGTTATCTTCAAAATACAAATTTATATCCATTAAAAAACTTTATATTTCATCTTTCCCCGAAATTTTATTCGGTACCTACTTTGATGAGCTCTCGCGAATTCTAGGAAGCGTTGTCAAGAACTATTACACTATTCGCATCCAAATTTGGGATCAATGTGTTTTCAAACCATTTCTCGAAAATATTAGCTTTCATGTTATTATAGTCAATATTACAGTCCTCAAGTTTTTTTCCATATAATTTCAAAGAATTCGGAACTCCTCCTTTACTTCTGCCGCAATGCACAATGATTAGTCTCGATCCTTTGTTTGCAGGCATGTTGGGCGTACACATTCTCGAACCATCAGTCCACCCTTTCGTAACTGTGCCGTGAATGTCATACCAAGTTTCGTCCAAATAGAAAATTTGCCGTTGTTCTTGTCTATATTTAGTTTTTTGTTCTAAGTATTTGTTACGCAAAACCACTATTCTTCTACTTTCCAGAACTGCTTGATGGTTGTTTATTATTTTGAATCTAAATCCTTGTTTCTTCATTCAATTCTGAAGAGTTTTGTCACAGCAGCTCACGTTATGGCCGGAAGAATTCAATTTCTTCCTTTATGATTTCAGTTATAGGAATCTATACAGTCGTATATTGTTTTTTCCAATGATTTTATTATATGAACATCTAAAGGTTTTAGTAATCCCGTATCTCCTCGCGTCTTGCGTTCATAAGGTTTATTTTTGACTATTTTACGTACAGTTGAGAAAGGAATTTTGGTCAAATCTGTTGTTGCTTGTAATAGTTTGTTTTCCTCGAGACCAAAATTGAGATGTAGATTCTTATATACATTGAAACATACTCTCTATGTTTCAATATTCAAATGCATCCGAATCTTATTCACTGGTATATCTTTTTCGCATTGTTCGCCATCGCTATTTCAATCACTACACAGGAAAAAATCTGAGTTGTTATCACACTCGTTATTACAATTAGTACTTGTTTTAGGACGCCACATTTTAAACAGATAACAAAAATTTTAAGTAATTATAACTGCATCAATATCGAATTTAAACACTCAAATCGCGATAAGTTCCTGAAGTGAACATTGACAACACAACTAGTATAAACATCCTCACATTCTATTCGTCACCGTAACATGACTTCAAATTCAATTTTATAACTCTTCAGCCAATCATAAAACTTGGTTAGTAAAAATTATCCAGTACTAACCACCAGCTCTTCAGTCCACATGGACTAGTTGGCAGCGGCTTCATTTCTCTGTATTGGTTTTTTTGGCCTTCGAGGGCGCCGACACCTTCAAGTATGCACAATACTGTTTACTTCGACTATACCAATAATCTAACAGATATCAAACGGTGTATGAAGACTGCATCGAGAAGAGAAGCATATATACTAGAAAAAACATAATTCGAAATGAAATCTTGAACTACAAAACAGGTGTAACATTAATGATAAAAAGCATCTGCATCAATTCCACTACTTAGCTGCCGTGCACCTAATTTTCGAGCAACAGAAGCAGAATATATATCAGAAGGGGAAATAATTTCTCTCTGAGCAGATTCTGCAAATAATATGAGACTACGGAGGATATGAATTTCAACTATTCGACCAAAACTGTCCTTCTTCGCCAGTTTTTGATCTCCACTGCAGCATGTAGTGGTGGGTCCAGTAAGTCACTCACTTGAGACGTACTCACTTACCTATTTTTGAAAAAATGGTTGATATTTCTATTTTTTGTTATCAGAAGATTCGAATTTTGAATTGAATATTATTATGGGCTATTAAAATATATTTCCTTTAAGGAAGGGGGCGAGTGGGGTTGTTTGGTTGAAATATATCTATGACATTGTTTTTGGCTGTTCAGGTTTCAATCACGGATTTATTTCCAGATTTGTCAATGTGAAAACTATTTATTTTAAAGATGTGTCTATTTTTTACTGTTTATGAAATCGTGGTCTGAACACTTGAATTTCATTTCCTTATATGAATATATGAACAAATATGGTATTTCCAAAGTACTTGAAAGTGTTTCAGTTTGGGAATTTCCAATATTTCTTCATCAATATCCTTTATATAAGCTTCTAATCACAAAGCATGTATATTCATTACTGTATTTGCAGTGATACGTAAATATATCTAATCAATGCCAATGTATTTTCAAAACTGCCATGAAACGGTTTATGGCATCTAGTATGAAACAAAAGATTATAAAATAAATTCATTTATCGTTTTGCATAGATTATGTTACACAAAAATATTTTGGGGGTTATATAAGTTTTCATTGGAAAAAATATTTTTTACAAACCTTAAGCTATAGTTCAGTTGATATCTTGGAGATATACGTTCTTATGGAATTGAATCTCAAAATGAACTCCAACATAACCTCCTCAGATGTTAACATATATATCATTAAGAAACTTTCCGTATAGGCATATCTTAGTGATATGGAGATGTTTCCTCGCTACAATATTACTAAATAACACCATTATCTTGAAGACTGTAGGTAATTTTCTTTTGATTAATATAATTTTCATTCTAGTGCTTCCAGATTCCAGTACGAGCGAATTCCACACAACTTCACTGATGTCACCTCCACCTCCCACAAGTATGTTGAACAGTACCAAACAAGAGTTGGACATGATCAGTCCGCGGTACCAGGACAACAGCGCCTACTATCCTAACAACTGGAGCACAAATCCAACCTACAACAATAACTACTACTATAACCCGCCGTACAACCAACAACAATACCATCCCCCGCCGGTGGTGGTTTGCCCCTCTTTGTATTCCACGGTGAACCAGAGCCAAATCCATTTCCACCTCCATGCTTCGACAGAGAAGAGTGATCAATTCAAAAGTGACCAGTTCTTGAAGACTGAGCAATACTTGAAGAGTGATCAGTATTTAACAGACAGTTTACCTCTAACTTCACCCCAGAGGGTGGATGTCATTCAGAATCCAACAAGTGAAGTGGTGCATACGGATCCTTTGAGGATTGATGACTCTGAGAGAGTGGCACAATCACAAAATGATGTGTGGAGGCCATACTGATATCAGTTTTAGCTTTATTTATTCTTTATTTGTTTCACAACTGAAATGAGACGGGTTTGAGTTTCATTTGTTTTTGTTCCCAAATATTGAGTAAGTGACACAAGTTTCACAGTTTTGAGTAACTATTGAAACTATTGTAGAAGTTTCGTACGAATGTTCATGGTATACATTACACCTGATCACACGTTTTCATACTGTCAAACAGAAAAAATAGAGTAAATAATAAACTCTATTTCTTTTCAATATTGTTATATCACACAGCATCATAATTAACATCCAGATTTATAATCTCGAACCGTTCCACTCAAATGGAATTTTTCACGGTGAGTTTATTAATATTACGAAAAAAATCTATAAAACTTAACGAAATCATAATTAATCTGATACAGAACGTTGAATGGAACAAGTACTTGATGTAACTCCGTATCAAAACAAAATAATATTACAGCCTTTTCAGCACAGTGTTTGTGAAAATATTACAGTGAACTGTGAGTTTTAAAGTACAAAAAATCAGAAAATAGAAAGTGGATCTTTTGATCTTTAGAGGTTTGTTTGTATATCAACTATTCGAACGAAACCAAGACACAAAGTGGTGTTTGTGATCCAATGTCAGAGAAGCGCTGCTGTAAATCCAATCAGAGGTGCTGCACTGGTTCACAAATGAAACATTTGAAGTAAACTGTTCTTTGGAAATCACCCCAAGGTAATAAGTATGCATGGCGATTTCCGTTAGAGAGGCGCCCATCTTGGCAATTGATGGAAAACAGACTATTGAGAAACATTTCATATAAGCACGTAAATGGAAATATTACTGGATTTTTTTCCCAACATCAAACCATTATTTTAACACCTTGACACGTATTTCGATCACCAAGTGATCTTCTTCAAGAGGAAGATCAAACTCAGTTTGTGCTTCCTCTTGAAGATGATCACGGTTTGGTGTTGGGAAAATACTCCAGTTAGTAACCGTTCGAGTATTCTTTGATGATACAATAGTTTTGCTGCTTTTTGTAACTAGTTTCCCTACGAAGAACTCATCTAAAAGGTCAACAGAAAATTCAACTTCAAGATGACTGGAAAGTGAAAAATAGTTCTCTTTTTCCTTGCAGAATCTCATTTTTTGTAATAGTGAGATCACGAATAGAACATTTGGAATCAGCTATTCTTCAGAATTTTTTCAAAAAAGATCAATTTACCACTTTATCAATGAATTTTCTACAATCTGTGTGTATTTCAAAGATTTCAGCAGATTCATTCTCGAAGTTACATTATTCAATTTGATTTGATACGTGCTATAAATCGTACGCAAACTAAATTACCTCGTTAATCTTCAGCTCACACAATTTTCAACTTTTAAGTGTTGTCGTTCGTAGGTGGCGACGGCTGGTTATGTGGAAAAACAGGTTTTTTTTACCTAGTACTTATTCTCTCATTCAACATTTTGTAAATGTTACTATGATGCTATTTGTTGAGAAAAATTGTGTCTATAGTTTTCGTTGATTTATAATGTTCTCAAATAACATTGTGATGTATTTTATGTTTTATTCTTACTCCATATCATTTTGCGATTTGATATGACCTTTTGTCCGTGCAAATACTGAGTTCAACTCTATAGAATCACTTGATGAGTTACTGTGAGATGCGCTAAAACTTTTATTTCTTGTCATGATTAATATTTGGTCATTTTAATTTATCTTATTTTCAGGATTTTCAAAAATTTGTATCTTTATTAAAGACACATAATATGTTGAATCAATTTGTATGCGAATTCGATTTCAGCACTTATACAATACAAGTGAGTAAACTTTATCGAAAATTTTTTGAAACACTTCAGATGACACAATTTTATTGACGTTCTGAAAATAAAACCACGAACATGTTCAAAGTGTTAAAAAACATAGAACGTCGAAAGCAAGAGCTCAACTTCTATCCGAAGAGCAGAGTTGTTCTCATACTCAACCCCAAATTTGGAAACTCTCAACTGAATCAGTGTTATTTTCATTCATTCATTGAAGTACCTACAAAATAACCCTCAATTACTTCGGTAGATCTCATGAAAACCTGATGCGGTCATCTGTGCGGTAGACACTGAGTGTGTGGTCTGCTACCAGATCTTGTAGAGGATAATATATTCAAGGTTGACAGTCCATGGTACATTGATCGGCAGTCAGTCTACGATTTTTTTCGTCAGGTGGGTAAGCAACACAAAACGTGGTTCGAGGAGCACGTGACACATTTAATGGTTGCAGGATACCATCCACCAACTGGATGCTCTACTGGTCCTCTCAGATAACTTTCCACCTTGATGCCCGCATCAATTATCCTTATGAGGGCATCTGTACGGCAGTATACCAATAGGATTTTGTTGACCTGCTTAAGGAGAGTTTGTTTTCTGATGAAGATTCTACTTTTGCTTCTCAAAAAATTGGTGCCAGGCAGGTTCATGATATATCCTTCTCTTAAAAAGGCGATAAAGTTGGATCCTAGGTTTGTTGACAGAATCAAGAGTTGAGGGCATCTGTACGGCAGTATACCAATAGGATTTTGTTGACCTGCTAAAGGAGAGTTTGTTTTCTGATGAAGATTCTACTTTTGCTTCTCAAAAAATTGGTGCCAGGAAGGTTCATGATATATCCTTCTCTTAAAAAGGCGATAAAGTTGGATCCTAGGTTTGTTGACAGAATCAAGAGTTGAGAAGCACTTACTCTTGATCTGCCCTTATCAGATTCATATGATTCATGAAATATTTCTTACTATATTATCTTTAGAAATGTAACCAACATCTATTATCTCGTATAACTATTTTTTTAACCCGACTAGATAAACATCATATCTGTGTTTCTTTGCAGACTTATGCTTTCGGAATAACCATACTTATGACATGAAATAAAATGTGGTAATGAATTGTACCCGGTATAGTGCATTGTTCAAGTTTGTTTCGAAAAATGATGTAAATTTGTAGAGTTCTTAGATATTTCATATTGTTATTTCGAATAGTGTCTGACTGTTAATTTAATGTGATGTTCTTTTTATGTCTCGCAATCATTCTTAATCGAATATCCATTCCGTACCGTCAATCAAAAACGTACATATCAAAATCTATACTTATGTGATTATAAATACTATATATTTACTTAGATGAACTTGCATCCTTCAAAATAATTTATATTGTACCTAAATAGAATATTAATAAATATCTTACAATTTTTGAACACTACCATTATTTCTTTCAGTCTATTCGAACTAAAAATATTGGATGAATATTGAGACTAATATCACAATATCAGTTAATTGCAGCTTGATCAGTAATTTGAATCTTCATTTTCATATCATCTTTAGAAGTGGTTGCCAAACTTAATCATTCGATGAGTTATCTATCAGTTATATATACAAAGTGCCCAACTATGACGAACTTTTATTATCAAAAATCCAGTGTTTCTTTCTAGTGGAGAATAATTTCAATATCTCATGTACGATTGAGGTGAAGATTACCTGTATCATCGAAACGTTGTTGAACTTACTAGAAAGAGAAATAACAATTCTGAAATATGATAAAAACTGGAACTTGACTCATCTGTTCACTTCTTGAAAATTCTTGCGAATTAGTTTGGTAAACTTTCAGTTTAGAAAATAATGAACAACTAAAAAATACCATTATATCTTTAACAACAAGTTTCTGTACTGATGAAAAACCACGTCTTCTTTTCAAATGTATCTAAATGCGTTTAGAGACACGAAACTTTCATAGTCAACAAAATCGGATATTGACAGCTTGTTCTCTGAAACGAGTTTCATTTACCAGTTTTGTCTGACCAACATATTTTCAGAATCCTCAGCTCATTTCATAAATCTCAGAATTCTCGTATTTTATCATTTTATTCTAAATATAACCCAACAGTTGTTGAAGTGAACATGTAGTATTGAAATCTTATTTTATGTGGATTTTCAAAAATTCGTCATTTGTCTTTTGGAAAACCCAAAGATTCATGAAGATACTAAATTTCATCGTAACAACATTTTGAAAGTGAAATAAAGTGAGAGCATCATAAATTACACATTATAAAATTCTCAACCTAAATGTATTCCAACGCAACCTCTTCAACGCACGAAACCATATGAAGTAAAAATTCGTAAATATATTTTTTTCTGATGAACTATATCATATTATGAAATTATTTGATTGAAAAATTCTTGACTGTCCGAAAATATTTTTATTGACTTGTGTATGAGGTTCGATTCTTCCAATCTCTCTTGAAATACAGCCGCATAGGTTCCTAGGCAGGTTGATTTGTCTGTTCTGGATATGCGACTGAAAACACCTACACCGGGACCTGAAGGTGTTTTCGATCCATCTGTGAACCAACAACTATCTGTTCTTAATATTTCCCTCTCCCGGAGGATACACTCTTCTCTACTCGGGAACAGTACTTTATAAGGCAGTTCGTAGTTAACAGTTGGAGGCATGAAGTCAGAGGTTAATTCCAGAATGCTGCGACTTCCAGTGTCAACCAGCAGTCTGTTGTACTCTGCATTGAATTGATTTGTGCTAATGGCAATATCCACGAGTCTATGTACAGTCCCTCTGGCCTCTCCAGCAAAATGTGGAGGGGGGTAGGTCTAGAAGGATCTCCATGGCCGCTGACGGTGTGGTACTGATGGCATCACTGATGGACAGAGAAGCCTGTCTCTGTACACTAGAGATCTTCGCCTGACCCGTTTTCTGTAAAGCCTTTGGCCACCAGGCAATTGCTCCATTAGTGACCATTGGTCTGAAAATCATCACATAAATCCAATGGATTTGTTTGGGACCTACATCCCAAGTTTCACCTCGAATCCTTCAACATGTCCATAGAGAAAGTCTGGCTTTGTGTAAAACTTTTTCCAAGTTAGCGTTCCAGGTGAGTATTTTATCAAGGACAATGCCAAAATATTTCACCTTCGTTCCAAATGGAATGACCCCACCATTGAGGAAAAGTGGCGTTAAATCGTCAAATCTTCTCCTCCTGGTGAAGGGGTTTATCATAGTTTTGCTGGGGTTGACATACATCTGCTCCCTCAGACACCAACTGCAAACAACGTCCGTCGTGCTTTGGAGGATATTACAAGCTACCCTTTCCGACATGGACTTTGCCAAGATGACAAGGTCATCTGCAGATCTACTTTTTTTTGTCGAGGACATCAAGGAGACTATCATTAAGTAGCGACCATAGAAGGGGTGGTAGTACCCCACCTTGAGGGCAGCCTCTGGTGACCCTGAACCTAATGTGATGGATTTTCATCAAGTGTCGGTCAGTTCTATTATATTTTTTCCACCATAGACTACGACGAATACAAATGCCTTTCAAAGAAATGTTTAATGTTGCTTATCGACTGGAGTCATTATTATTCATACATGGGAGTTACTATCAGCAGTACCTTGTCATTAAATTAGCATGCTAGATATCTGCCTGGAGCAATATCGAATGAACTAGTTCTTTCTTGTCTATGACAGAAGTAGGTATTCAATTCATATACTCAATACGTCATGACCGTGTCACTTTTGACATATCAAGAACAAAAATGAGTGACACATCTTTGTGTGAACCAACAGAAAAATTCATCGTTTCAGGTATCGTCACTAGTATTGAATTTCAAAAAAGTAGGTTTATCACCACGAAACTGCACAGATGTTTTCCTAAACAATATGAAGAACCCGACATAAGGCCCATGCTAGATGTGGAATGGGATGAATACCTCATGCGAGTAAGTAAGGCCAATTTGTGTGTACAGCTCCAAAAAATGAATTGCTTCTGGTATATTATAGTGCATTGTGGTGTGTATGAAAGCATAATGCAACAAACATTTCTTCAAGACATAACCATATACAAATAAGTTCAGAATCTCACTGAATCGATGAGATGAAACGGAGCCTTCTCCGGTTCAGGAGAAGCACGAAATGTCCACCTTCAGAAAGTTCTTTCTAAAAAGCCTCATTGCTTCGGATTGTTGAAAATACCGAATGGTAAATACACCAACAACCACCGTAATTCAGAGCTTTTTTTAGAATTTCTCAAGGGTTCGATAAACTACACTAGATTACACTAGTCAAGCTGAAATTCCAATATCTCATAATCGAAAAATGATTCTTTGAAATATAAAATTATTGAAGTAATTGTTTGTTATTCTAAAGCATTAGAGACCAACAACATGGCTGAATTTGTTTCGTAATATTGTAATTTCCGAGTTACATGCATTCTCACAAAGAAGCAGGGATAGGTTAGAAATAACTACTGGAATTCTCACTGAATACCTACTGTCCTTTCAGAGGACACCTGAAACAATAGGGATGTGTGATGGATTCTTGTTGCAAACCATGCAACAAAGGGGGAGACAACCCATCACATCTGATACGAAAGTTAGCAGGTGAGGAATATAAGTACAACCAAAACAGAATATGACAAACGTCTAATAAATAACATCTTGTTGGAAAAACGGAATGAGTCCTTCTTGTGTGTTGAAGCAATTCATCAGTTTTTGGTTCAGGTGGTCCTTGAATTTTCCATTTCATGTTCCCAGATGTATCTTTCCAGAACTATGTTTTTTATTGACACAGTTTCTGATTTGGTTCCGTACCATAAATTTTGGTATAGTCGAAGCTGGTTCGAGACCAATACTGGATGCTAACGAACTTGTCCATTTATTTCGGGGGTGAGAAATTTGAAATTCATAACGAACAAGAAGTTTCTCATAGCCGATATTTCTAATGGGAAAACAATTGGAAATTTATTTAGGTTTCACCGAATATGAACTAAAGTCAAGAATTTTTCCTGGAACCTGGAATGAAATAACTGTGAAATAAAATACAAGTAAAAATAGAACAATTGAACAAAAATTAAATAAAAATAAAGAAATGAAAGAAGAAAATAAAAAATACAAAGTTAAGAGATTCCAAGCCACGTTAGTTCACGACGTTTCTATTGTTAGAATCTACAATCGTCTTCGGGTGATGACTGGACTGATTTCTCCGAGAGATGACTTCCATCACCTCTTCGATCTTCTGTTCTCTACGAACAGAGGATCGAAGAGGTTCTTCAGAAGGGACGATACACGAAGATCGTACGAGACCTTACTAAATCAATTGAAAGGAAGTTGTACCAGATTTTGAAAAACCATCAAGTCTATTTTTCGGGCAAGGAAAGATCATCGCTAACACCGCACCACAGTAAGCGCCCTCACTTGTTTGGACTACCCAAAATCCACAAGAAGGACGTTCCGCTTAGACCGATCATCAGCTCCAGAGATTCGGCTACTCAAAACTTGTCCAGATTTCTACTTCCCATAATACAACCATTACAAGGAAGAACATCGTCTTTTGTGAAGAATTCAAGGTACTTTGCGAACTACTAGGGTCAATTGAAGTCACACAGGAAGATCAACTAATTAGTTTAGTGGAAAGCCTTTACATCAACGTTCCGGTCGAAGAAGCACTTCAAATCATACAGAGAAAGCTATCCGAAGACGGGAACCTGAATGAGAGAACGAATCTACCTATAGAAGTAATTATGGAATTACTAGGATGCTGTGTACGAAACTGTTATTTCCAACTGGAGTACGAATTCTTTACACAAGATGAGGGACTGCCAATGGGATGGTTACTTTCACCAGTCATAGCCAACATATATATGGAGTGGTTTGAAACTCTGGCCATTGAAGAAGCTCAGCGTGAGACCTTCCATCACTTTCACAATGGAGAAGGAAATCCACAACGAATTGCCATTCTCAGACGTTTTGGTGAAGAGGACCGACACTAAGTGGGAAACATCTGTATACCGAAAACCCACTCACACGGGAAAGTATCTGAACCACGAATCCAATCACCATCAATCGACTAAAAGAGAAATCTCTCAAGACTCTATTAGACCGTGCCTTCGGGCTCTGTAATACGAAGAAAGGTCTTGAGAAGGAACTAGACATCATCAAAAATATTCTTCAACGGAATGGCTACTCCAAAGCGATGGTAGAAAATACTTTGGCTAAAAGACAGCAGGAGCCTCGCAAGGAAGAGAACCCGTCACAACCAGTGCTTGCACTTCCCTACATCAGAGGATTATCGGATCTGAAGCGGAGAACCCGCTTCAGATCCGGTAACATTATCCGTAGCAGCCTCACGAAAACCAGGTCACCAAACAAGGACTGGGTTTCCAAGAATTGCATTTACCGGATACCCTGTGAGTGCGGAAAATCCTATATTCGTGAAACTAAGAGGCCATTGAATGTTCGCATTGCCGAGCACAAGAAACACACACAGCGAGGGGAAACCAGCAAATCAGGAATAGCAGACCATGTTTGGACCCATCAGCACAACATCGAGTGGTCCCAAGCTGAGCATACACAGAGAGAAACCTTGGTTAAGGAGAAAATTCAAGGAAGCCACATACATGTTGTTCAACAACGTATTCAGTCAAGGTAGCGTAGAGATACGCAACGTATGGAAACCCATTCTCAAGCGAAAAATGGACAACTCACGCCAATCGGTCATCTCCCACTGAACTAGTGAAGCGGAAAATGGAAGGCGGGGATAAGTGAAAGTTCTCGAACGATCAGTCATCACCCGAAGACGATTGTAGATATCAACAATCGAAACGTCGTGAACTAACGTGGCTTGGAATCTCTTTCTTTATTTTTATTCAATTTTTGTTCAATTGTACTATTTTTACTTGTATTATAGTGTATTATTCCACTGTTATTTCATTTCAGGTTTTTGCTCAATATAATTTTCATTTTCAGCTAATCATTTTTTAATTCTTCTCTTTTAGGTATCTCAGGGATTTCAAATCATTTTATATATTAGACAATGGAAGTCCGAACTAGTGAAAAGAAGTGGTTCATTTTGAATTTTATCATTGAAGTTTACTCTTTTACCTCGTTTCTGTGGCAGTAAAAAATTTTCGAAATAAATCGAGAAAAAAATGGAATTTGAAAAAATTCATAAAATGTTTATGAATTAGTGAAAAATTTCATCCAAAACTGGAGCAAACACCGTCTTTTGCTTCTTTATATTAGATTGTCGGGGAGCGCATGGCCTGATTCACTGCGACCTTTTCAGGTCTATTGTTATGATCCTTGCTGTAAGAGTTCATTGTCTAGCTTGATGTCTTTGATGAGATTTCATAGCCTTGACACTGACCCCTTTATATTGCTGGCAGCCTCTGATTTCTCTTCCCCGCATCTTGCATGTCTCAGTCTTGCTAGCGCTTCGCATACATAGAGCACATGCAGTGCGGTTTGTTCCTCTTCTTGACAGAACCTGCATTGAATTTCTTCTGGTAGACCCATTTTGCTCATATGTTTCCTGAGTCGGCTGTGCTCCGTTACTAGACCCACCAATACCCTAACAATCTTGCCTCATTCCTGGGAGCTCATTCCACCAAACTATCGATTCGGCCTACATCCATTAATTTATGCATGTCTTTATGCATGCTTTCGCTACCCCGCAGAATGGTTCTGGGCCGATCATATGAACATCGACCTCCCCATTGCCCTTGTGACTCTCATGTCCGGGTACCCAAGCTAAAGTGACCCTATTTTGGGTACTTAGCTCCTTGAGTGCGCTCAGACAGCTTCCCACCAGTCTCAAGAAGACTTGAAATGAGTTGAGCACCTTAATTGCCACCTGGCAATGGTTTTATTTGGTATGATGATTTTAAAATCTTTTTGAAAGTTGTACTACGGAACTGTGTTATCCACTGGCATTCCTAGTATTGGATCTGCCTTCAATTCATCGTACAGTTTCATGTATTCTGCATCGTATGACTGGCTGATTGGGGTTTGCCCCTGCATCAGCCTGTGTGTCACCAGTCGGGCTACTCTTTGTATGTAGATCTGCCATGGTGGAACTCCTAAAAGGACCTCAAGTGTCGCAGTAGTGGTCGTTCTTATGGCTCCCAGGGCACTTAGGCACGCCAGCCTTTGTATGTCGCCTAATAGCCTAGCCGTATCCGATTGCTTTGTTCTTGTCCACCAAGTCACTACACCGTATGGTATCATGGGTCGTTTTTGGGTTAAGCCCCGTTCTTTCCGCACATTCTTCTGCAGATTCCCAGGGCCATCCTGACCTTATGTGCTGTTTTTAGATGTGGAAGTTCCACGTGAGCCTGTGATCGAAAGAGTCACCTAAGTATTTGACTTCCGTGGCAAGAGGGATTTCCACTTCATTGAGTATTGGTGGTTTTAGTCCACTAATCACTCTTTTCCTTATGAACACGACGACAGTAGTTTTTTGGGCATTCACTGAGAGGTTCTCATGCTCGCATCATCTGCCGACGATGCTCAAGGTTCTTTGTATGCGCTCCGAGATGATGCCTGCAAATTTTTCTTTTGTGACTATCACCAGATCTTTAGCATATCCCAGGCAATATATGCCTCCTTCACATAGCTTTCTGAAGAGATCGTCTACTAGGGTTGCCCATAGCATTGGCGATATAGTACGCCTCCTTGTGGGCATCCCTTCTCTGCTCTTACCTGTATGGTAGCCTCTCCTAGAGTGGTGTATATCATCCTTCTTTTTAGGCTGGCTTTTATCCATCGACACACTACAGCTTTTGCTTCTTACTACATAAGCTGATTGACAATATTTCCATAGATGGCTTCATAGTTCCGCCATATTAAAATTGGACGAAATGCCTTCAATGCCACCATTTTGAAGGGTCATTCGTGTCATATTTCTGAAGAGAGAATTTTTGAAGTCCAACACATGGTCTAAAAATCTACATGGTTCTCAACTTGGGTTCATTATAAATTGAAAAGTTCCATTAGAATATATCGAATTTCAAATATTTCACCCTAAAAACAACTAGAAGACGCCGCGCGTCTAGCATACCAATCAGCTTTTCCATTGCCTGTAATTTCAGGCACCCAATATAGAGTCAATTCATCCTGATCCTGCAATTTTCTCAAGGCATTCTAAATTCAGTGTTGTGGCACTTCTTGGTTTTCATCAATGACTAGCTGTGACCTCACTTGGTATATTTAAAAAAATCAATGAGTTTTCCTCCTACAACCTCAATGGCGAAAAAACTCAAATATTATCGTATCTTTCACATTTATGTTTGGATTTCCAGAAACGTAGGAAGTATGGAAAAGGTTTATGGTCACTCAGAAAACCTGTAATGATATTTCGGAATGATGAATATTTGGGAGATGATGCTGATCTCTGGATACAAATCTCAAAAAAATTTCGATTTTCCTTGAAGATGGACTGGTACGAAATTGGAAAATGTCATTTCGTTTACTATTTGCAAGAAATCATGAGAAAATTCGTATGAACCACTCAAAAAATTTCTGCGAATGTAAATGAAAATAATAATTGAACATTTTAGCGGCAGCTGGCATACATCACTATTTCTATTAATCATAGGGTAATAGGAACTATGATGTTTGAGGTATGTATGAGTATATTCATCTTCTCAAAACATAATTATCGAATGAAACATCAATGCTCAATTTTAATATCCAAATATTTTGATCTGCGTGTCAACGGCAACGACTGGTTATTCGGTAATTAGTATCGTATTCTGAGCGAACCCTGTTAATAACTACCGGAGCCACCAAGGGACCATCGTAGCTATTCGTAGTCCGTCAGTCATCACATCAGTCCGGGATCATCACAACTTCAACTAAATAAATTCTGCTCGAGTTAGGGATCGAACTCACGACCTCTCGATCGCACTAGCACTTGCGCCAATTCACTGCTCGTTATACTGTTTTGTATGTCACACTGTGCTACTGTGTAAAATGTACTCAGTTTACTGAGATAGTTCACTCAAATCACAAAGGAAGACCGCATTTGAAATGTTCATTGAAACGAAATTCAGCGATATCAATTCGTTTGTGCAGCTACTATAAATCAACTTCACAATCAAGAAAATATAATAATAAATGAAATTGCCTGTCATCCACAGTCTTATGAAATAGAAATCTATGAAAATATTCCTTTTATATCTTGTGAACTTTTTTCCTAATTGTTTGATTTTTCAACGCTCAAAAACATTTTCGTCTACCTACATTGTTCTTTCATTTTGAGTAACCTTTTTTTATTCTCATTCATAATATCAAATCAAGTCCCTTTTAAAGTCACAATAATTTGTATACGAATTCAAATTCAACTAGAGGGTTGTCGAAACAGCCTGAAAAATGAACCCCCATGCCCCCTCCCGGGTTGAGTGCCCTGTGTTGAAATCTTCCCCACACGGTTACTGTGTGTGGAACATCCCATCTCGTCCATCCACCCTCGCTCCTCCGGAGCGGTCCTCAACTTACTGATGGGCAGCAAAATTGACATCTGACCTCTTTCAATCGAAAGTCACCCAGGCATTTCGTAATGATAGTGTTAATGAACGCACAGTTCGACGTTTGTCGGTCAGGAGATTTTAGCCTCGAAGATGAGCCCCAAAGTGGTCAACCTACAGTAATTCAGGACGAGGATTTGAGGACCCTGGTGGAGACTGACCCATCACAAACAGTGTGTGGGATGGTGGAAGAACTGGACGTCAACTCACATGCGATTTTTGATGGTTTAAAATGTATTATATTCTTTGCCTTTGTGCAATCAAAACAATCCTTTTTTTCAATGGGATTTTCACGTGTGACAACTACGACAACTACGACAACAGGAGATGTTCAGGACGAGGATTGGACTTCGATGAGCCACCCAGGCACTTTACAAGAGCGCAAATTTTAAAAAAATTGCCATGGTAACTGTATGGTGGTCAGCGGCTGGTATGATTCGCTATAACTTTCTGCAACCGGGCTATATCATCACAGCAGAGTACTATTGTGAAGAAATTGACAAAATGTACTGGGTTGACCAACAGAAGAGGTCCTATCCTGCTTCACGACAATGTCCGTTCTCAAGTTTCACAAATCACCATCCTGAAATGTTACGAATTGAGGGTCGAAGTTCTGCCTCACCCACCATACTGTCCAAACCTCTCGCCAACTGACTACCATATTTTCAAGCACATCTATAACTTTTTCATCGGTAGAACCTTCGCTAGGCGAAAACGGACTTCGTCGACTTCATCGAATGCCAAGCATACAATTTTCATGCGTTGGCAAGAGTGAACTGATTCAAGTGGCTCTTATTTCAAAGAAGACTCATTAAAGCGGACAAATCTTTCCAAACAATATTGTTGATGTGATCGGATGACAATGAGAGAATTATTGTACATCAAATTTAATATTACTCAACTGACCACGAAGCGAAAAAAAATCATGTTTTTGAAGTGGTGAGTTATTTTTGACTGTTGATGGCTGAATTGAAACGAAATGGTCAGAAATATTACATATAAAATATAATCAAGGTGGTATTATTCATGAACATTTCCTTAACATATTTGGATGTGTTTTCAAAGTTTAACTGGCAAAGTATAAACATATTTCCAATATAAAGAAGATGCAGCATCTCTTACCTTATAACAGCATACAGAAGCTTGAATTTGATTAGCCTTGTATAATATTTCACAAGCCTATTTTCGATTTCAGCTCTACAATGATTTGGTCCCATTTGCATGTGAGAATTTTTTGAATAAATGCAAATCCAGAGACGATGGTTATATTGGAAAACCTATTCAAAGGTAATTTGACTATTTTCTCAAAGCATTTAAGAATACCAGAGACCAGTTCGACCTTCACACGAAATTGGTGAATATTACGACAAAGTTGGGTCGAACAGTTTATTTCATATATCAATATTTGTGTCCGTTTTATGATTATTATCTTCCTTTTATTCGTACATGACCTCAACAACAGTAATCGTCAACATTGTACAGTGCAATTTGCCCACGATTCGGCATAAATAGGGTTAGCTCGCATCAGTTTCTAGTTTTATTCTTCCTCTTTGAAGATGATCACTTGGTGATCAAAACACGTGTCGAGGTGTTGAAAATAAAGATTTGTTGTTGGGAAAAAACTCCAGTAATATTTATTTACTAAATGGAAGGCAAAAATTTTACTCATATGGAACACTGTCATCTTCACTGGAAGACATCGATGTTTCGCCGTAAGGCACTTGCCTTGTGGCTCTTCAGTACCAATCTAGATAACATTATAAAAAAAACACACAATTCATTCATATACGGCTCAGAGTACAGCTATGCCAAACTCTGAAAACGTGAATCGGTCCTCATCGGGGTGGACACAAAGTATTTGCTCTGCTGTTTCATCATTTTCCAAACAGAAACGACTGTCTTCCGACAGTCTGAGTCTCTACATATGATGATTCAAATGACAATGACCTGTAAGATCGCCTGTTAGACATCGTAGTTCATCTCTATTGTAGTCCAACAACTGGTTGGTATCAAGCTTCGTTAGGTTAGTAAACGCTTTGGAGTGAGCCAATCCTGTAAGGTTCTGCCAGAATTCCATGAATTTTCTTGCCATCCAGATGCTGGCAAATCCTAAAGCGATGCCAATGACAGAGTCTGGTCCAATGAAGCTGCTTGCAGCACCCTCCTTTGCGAGGGATTCAGCAGTCTCATTGCCTTCCAGGCAAGTATGGCCAGGAATCTAGACCAGAGACAATCTGTGGAGTCTTCCTTCCTATCGGGAAAAGTCGTTTTTGGCAATTTGCTACCAATTTTAAGACGTTGCTTGGTAGGAGCCAAGAGCTTTCAACGCCGCTTGACTGTCTGAGAATATTTTTATTGACTTGTGTATGAGGATGGATTCTTCCAATCTTTCCGCACATAATTCAATAGCATAAGTTCCTAGGCAGGTTGATATCTCTGTCCTCTCTACTCGGGAACAGTACTTTAGAAAGCAGTTCGTAGTTAACAGTTGGAGGCGTAAAGTCAGAGGTAATTTCCAGAATGCTGTGACTTCCTGTGTCAACCAGCAGTCTGTTGTACTCTGCATTAGATTGATTTGTGCAATTGGCAATGTGCACAAGTATATGTGTAGTTCATTGAGTCTCTCTCTCAAAAAAGGATCTCCTTGGCCGCTGACAATGTGATTCTGATGGACAGATAAGCCTGTCTCTGTAAGCCAGAGAGCTTCACCTGAACCGTTTTTTGTAAAGCCTTCGGCCACCAAACAATTTCTCCATAATTGGTCATAGGTCTGACAATCATTACATAAATCCAACCGATTTGTTTGGGACCTAAACCCTAAGTTTTACCCTAAATCCTTCGATATGTTCATAGGGACAGTCTGGCTTTGTGTGAAACTGTTTCCAAGTGAGCGTTCCAGGTGAATTTTTTATCAAGGATAATGCTAAGATATTTCACCTCCATTTCAAATCGAATTGCCTCACCATTGAGGGGAAAGTGGTGTTATATCGTTCAATTTTCTCCTCCTGGTGAAGGAGGAGAAAATTGCTGGGGTTGACAGACATCTGCTCCCTTGGGCACCAACTGTGAACAATGTCCATCGTGCTTTGAAGGATATTATAAGCTGCCGTTCCTGACGTGCAACTTGCCAAGGTGATCTGTATAAAATTGCAGATCTATTTTTTTTCTGTCGAGGGCATTAAACAGACTATACTTCAGGAGCGGCCACAGAAGGCAGTCTCTAGTGGCTTTGAACCTAATGGCCTCAAGTTAAGGAGTCATAGTTGCGTGTAATATATAAATATTATTATTTTCTACAATGAAAATAGATTTCGAAGATCTAGTAATACAGGAAATTCACTATTTGAACTTCGGTTTGAACTTTCTCTTGAAGATGATCACTTGGTTATCGAAACAAGTATCGAAGTGTTGAAATAACGGTTTGGTGCTCGGATAAAACTCCAATAATTTGTATTACTACACCAAAGATTCCAAACGGTGCATCACAAGTACTTGTTATTTGGTGATAATCGATAAAACTCCACAAACGAAGATGATTTCGATAGACGTATCAAGTTTTGTGAAAGTCTCACTAAACGGATCAACTTGCATCAGAATCTCTTCTATAAAATTGGTTTTTCGAATGAATGTACGTATAATTTGAATGATGAGGTGAATCGGCAAAATTGTCGATATTGTAGTGATATGAATCCTCATTAAAAATAATCTAGATATTGCAGAATCATTTAACAATTATTTTATTGATAGCGTACAAGAAATTGTGGACACTATTGATCAATCTGATTCACTTCATGAGAACAATGTTATATCGATTAACAACTCATTCGAGAAATTCAAAGTGTTGGAGTTAGCAGATCTGTCTAAATTGATCAACGGACTGGAAATGAAATACAGCAGTGAAATACTCAACTGCAAACTTATTAAAAAAACTTTTGGTGTAATAGGACATGCATTGAGCACTGGCAGATTCCCGAAGGAGCTCAAGACCAGTGTCCTTGTGCCAATTCAGAAAGTCCCTAACACAAATAAATCCTGGGAATTTAGACCAATCAACACTTTGCCTTGTATTGAAAAAATATTAGAACTCGCAGTTCATAATCAACTCATTGAATATCTAGAAAATAATGATATTTTACTTAAATATCAGTCAGGTTTCAGAAAACATCAATCATGTGAGTCTGCATTACAAGTCACAATATCAAAATGGAAAGAATCAATGGATAAGAGACATTATATCATAGCCGTATTTTTAGATCTTAAAAGAGCTTTTGAGATAATTGATCGCCACATATTACTAAATAAACTGCAAAGTATTGGTATCAGGGAAACTGTTTTGTTATGGCTGACTGATTATTTATCACAACGCAAACAGGTAACCAAAATAAAGGATTCAGTGTCATCATCTCGCGATGTCATTTTCGGGGTACANACACAAGTAATTAATGTGAGCAGTGAACATTAAAGTTGTTAATAGGTAATGAAAACTAAAATATGAAAAATGATGAACAATTGAACAACCAATATGGCCAAACAGTCAAATATGAAATTTCACAGAATTATTATAAAAATATTTGGATTATTCTGGCTATATAAAATCCTGAATTTTTATTTATTTCATCAAATACTTTTACATTTGATTTTTGAATTTGAGACCGGCATTCAAAAATTCATATTTGAAATATTTTCATTCCCTTTCCTGAAAGTTTGGAAATATTCCACTATAGAAAAACTTTCCTAATGATATTTGTCTTGCATTGATTTTGATGGATGCGAATTAAACCAAAGTTCAGGATTTGAATTAATTTTGATATAGTTTTGTATATTACAACTAGATTTGAATATTTTCAATATGTCTCATGAAGCTCATTTGGAACTGAATATTTTTCTAAATTCCAATCAATTGTCTTCAGATCACACCTTGATTCATTAAAATTTCTAGGCAACTTATTCAGGGTTCCAAAATACTGAAGCAAATTGAAGAGGTGCCAACCCAATGCGAATGTCCTCTCTACCCAATTTCAATAACAATGAGTGGGGAGGTGACTTTTGATAACAAACCAGATTTCATAACGACCAAAGAACTTCAAGAATTCCAAAGTAGAAAATCCATGACCATTTTAGATGATCTGATGGAACCAAAAGACAAACATATGTCTTTCAGTTCCGTATTCTCTCAAAGGAAATTCGGACAGGGAAAATACTGTTTGGAAACCGATATGAGAAGATATCTGCCGTTCGTTCATTTATTCGAATATTTCGCCCCTAGTGATAAACTCGGAAAAGGTATTCATCAACATGTTTACGTAGATATATTTTATTATACAGTTTTCAATTAACGCACATGCCACTCGCCAAAAAAACAATGTCAATTTGCCCATTCCAAAATATTCCCTCATTAAAGACTGTTTCATTTATGATGGGTTGAAAATATTGAATCACCTTCCATCGCATCTAAAAGGTGCATGCCATAGGAACTTCAGGAAAGTTTTAAAAATTAAATTGAAAGAACACTTTTTCAAAAAGATGAAAAAATACAACAAACTCAGAATTAATGTGAAACGTTCGCATATTTTGTGTTATGTATCCTATATAAAAGAAATAGAGGGAGACTTACAGAGTGGTCCCAAAAAATTATGGGTATATAAAAGGAACGTCAAAAAAACTGTGCTTTTACTAACAGATTCAATTATGATAATGATGAATTATTCAATGATGAAGATATGCAGACGGTTTTGCTATTTTCTTCAAATCAACTTTCATAAATAGCGGTGTGCCAGTAATCCCAACACTAGTTCCTGAGTATGATCTAGATATCATTGAATTTGGTGATATTGAGGAACAAGGGGTTGAAAATGCTATTAAGACACTAACACCCAAAGCAGCCGTTGGAATCAATGGCATTCCAGCCTACTTTTTCAAGGCTTACTGTCACTTGTCAAAGCAACTACTGACATTGGTGTTCAATCTTTCTCTGAAAGAAAATCGTTTTCCAAGCTTTCTCAAAATTGGCCAGAGTTACCCCCGTACACAAAAGCGGCAATAAGAACAATGTAAGAAACTACAGATCCATACCAGCTTTGTCGAAGATATTTGAACGGGTAAAATATACAATCGAGTATACAATCACGTGGACTCAGTAATAATGAACCAACAGCATGGCTTTATTCGTAATAAATCTACCATTACCAATTTATGCGCATTTAGTAACTTTTCACGGATGGAACAAAAAATGGTTATCAAATAGACGTTATATACATTGACTTGGCCAAGGCATTCGATAAAGTTAACCACGAGGTTTTGATCCTGAAATTGAAAACATTCGGTTTCACAAACAACACACTTGATTTCTTTCAATACTATCTATCCAACAGAATAAGTTTGTACAGTTCAACACCGAATTCACCGCTACTTCGGGAGTTCCGCAAGGCTCGATTTTGGGACCTCCCCTCTTCGTGTTATTTGTTGATGACGGTTCTCGATATATCGGGCATTCTCTATGTCTCCTATATGTCGACGATCTCAAACTTTTTACAAGAATCTAAAGCGGAAAAGATTCTGNATTGCACAAACACTACAGGTCATAACCCAATTACAGATTAGGAAGTATTACAGTAGTACAGGTTATTTTTATTGCGATGAAAATAAACTGAATTTCGCCTTTTATTTTCCTATAATGAAAATATTCATTGTATAAAAACTGTTAACTACCTAATATTGGAAATAATAAAGACGAATTATTGTTATTACTATTATTATATCACAAGTAGGTTCACACACAAGGCCTGATATCTCAAAGATATCAGTTGAACAGTTGATACTTTTGAAGCTTACAAGACTTTGAAAATGCATGTCAGTCATTTTTAACATTGTTATATGCTCCACTCATTGATTTTGAAGGAGCATTCTCATAGTATAAGAACATGGGCTTTCACGGCCAGAGTCATGATTGAAGAGAACAAATCTGGGCTGGTAGGCCAAGTCTGGAAAAAACTGCAGTTATACAGATGAAGATGATCATCTGGTGATTGAAACACGTGTCAGGGTGTTAAAAATAAAGTAGTATTCATTACTACACCAAAGGTTCCAAACAGTGCATCATAAGTATATTCACGAATGTAATAAAATCAATAGGTAACACTTTTTCTGTGAATTTTTAGCTTTCTACTACTCATCTCGATACAAAAAATGTGGGAATCTTTCAAAGAGAGGAAGGAAACAATCAGTTTTAAAAGAAGTAACTCTATTATATAGCTGAAAATTGTTTTATATTAACATATATTGTAAAATAATAGATAAGGCAAAATTGTAAAATTAATTAAGGTTGGTATACCTGTATGGTTGGTATGCCTGGATGGTTTACCTGTATGGGTTACCTTTATAGCATAAATAGGGTTAGCTCGCATCAGTTTCTAGTTTTATTCTTCCTCTTTGAAGATGATCACTTGGTGATCGAAACACGTGTCGAGGTGTTGAAAATAAAGATTTGTTGTTGGGAAAAAACTCCAGTAATATTTATTTACTAAATGGAAGGCAAAAATTTTACTCACATGGAACACTGTCATCTTCACTGGAAGACATCGATGTTTCGCCGTAAGGCACTTGCCTTGTGTCTCTTCAGTACCAATCTAGATAACATTATAAGAAAAAACACACAAGTAATTCATATACGGCTCAGAGTACGGCTATGCCATACTCTGAAAACGTGAATCGGTCCTCATCGGGGTGGACACAAAGTATGTGCTCTGCTGTTTCATCATTTTCCAAACAGAAACGACTATCTTCCGACAGTCTGAGTCTCTGCATATGATGATTCAAATGAAAATGACCTGTAAGAACGCCTGTTAGACATCGTAGTTTATCTCTACTGTAGTCCAACAACTGGTTGGTATCAAGCTTCGAAAGGTTAGTTAACGCTTTAGAGTGAGCCAATCCTGTAAGGTTCTGCCAGAATTCCATGAATTTTCTTGCCATCCAGATGCTCGCAAAAACTAAAGCGATGCCAATGACAGAGTCTGGTCCAATGAAGCTGCTTGCAGCACCCTCCTTTGCGAGGGATTCAGCAGTCTCATTGCCTTTCAGGCAAGTATGGCCAGGAATCTAGACCAGAGACAATCTGTGGAGTCTTCCTTCCTATCGGGAAAAGTCGTTTTTGGCAATTTGCGACGAATTTCTAGACGTTGCTTGGTAGGAGCCAAGAGCTTTCAACGCTTCTTGACTGTCCTAGAATATTTTTATTGACTTGTGTATAAGGATGGATTCTTCCAATCTTTCCGCACATAAGCATAATTTCCTAGGCAGGTTGATATCTCTGTCCTCTCTACTCGGGAACAGTACTTTAGAAAGCAGTTTCGCAGTTAACAGTTGGAGGCGTAAAGTCAGAGGTAATTTCCAGAATGGTGTGACTTCCTGTGTCAACCAACAGTCTATTGTACTCTGCATTAGATTGATTTGTGCAATTGGCAATGTGCACAAGTCTATGTGCAGTCCATCTGGCCTGTCTCTCCAGTGTAGTCCATTGAGTCTCTCTCTCAAATAAGGATCCCCATGGCCGCTGACAATGTGATTCTGATGGACAGATAAGCCTGTCTCTATAAGCCAGAGAGCTTCACCTGAACCGTTTTTTGTAAAGCCTTCGGCCACCAAACAATTTCTCCATAATTGGTCATTGGTGTGACAATCATTACATAAATCCAACCGATTTGTTTGGGACCTAAACCCTAAGTTCTACCCTAAATCCTCCGATATGTTCATAGGGGCAGTCTGGCTTTGTGTAAAACTGTTTCCAAGTGAGCGTTCCAGGTGAATTTTTTATCAAGGATAATGCTAAGATACTTCACCTCCATATCAAATCGAATTGCCTCACCATTGAGGGGAAAGTGGTGTTATATCGTTCAATTTTCTCCTGCTGGTGAAGAAGGAGAAAATTGCTGGGGTTGACAGACATCTGCTCCCTTGGGCACCAACTATGAACAATGTCCATCGTGCTTTGAAGGATATTTCAAGCTGCCGTTCCTGACTTGCACCTTACCAAGTTGATCTGTATAAAATTGCAGAACTATTTTTTTTCTGTCGAGGGCATCAAACAGACTATACTTCAGGAGCGGCCACAGAAGGTAGTCTCTAGTGGCTTTGAACCTAATGGCCTCAAGTTAAGGAGTCATAGTTGCGTGTAATATATAAATATTATTATTATCAATATAATTTTGTGTTATGTTAAGTTATAATAGGTTCATATCATGTTGTGTCATGCCATGCGAATCTGTAATATATCAATTAATAATCAGTTCAAAAAATATGTGAATGCCTCAATGGCATTTCAACATCTATTTCCATGCTGAAACATTATTTCCTTGTTGAAGATGTCAAAATGGTAGGCAACATTTTCTAATTCATAGTTTGTTGTTCTCTGGAAGGATACTGAAGAATAGCTGGATCCAATGTGGTGGTTGGGATCTTCCAGAAAAACACATGCGTTGCGAAAACTACGTTGTACCACATGACAGAAGGGGCGTTTTATGTATGTGTAATAATGGAAGGCATACAGACAACAGCACTCAATTTTTCATCACTTTAGCTGCCACTCCTTGGATGGATTATAGATATGTAGCTTTTGGGTAATATGTGACTTTTTGAAAGAAATTTTTCTGGTAACATAAGTTCATGATGTCTTCTTTATGTATTATTAAAATGCTCATTTTGAAATATAACAATTCTACAATGAAAATAGATTTCGAAGATCTAGTAATACAGGAAATTCACTATTTGAACTTCGGTTTGAACTTTCTCTTGAAGATGATCACTTGGTGATCGAAACAAGTATCGAAGTGTTAAAATAACGGTTTGGTGCTGGGATAAAACTCCAATAATTTGTATTACTACACCAAAGATTCCAAACGGTGCATCACAAGTACTTGTTATTTGGTGATAATCGATAAAACTCGACAAACATCAATTATGTTATCAAAACTACTATCCAGGTGAATCTTTTGAAATGTTTTCTCCTTCTCCATAAGACATTAAGTCTAAAAATATTGAATTTAGCAATGATAAATTTCGATTATTATTCACAGCTCCTTTAACGAAATGATTATATAAATAATTGCGTATTTTATTAGATCTTCAATACATTCACCGTTCCCAATAAAATGTTGTCCCGGTTGAACCGCGTCTGTAATTTTCATCGTTTCGACGATACCTGGTCAGGTTTGCCTGACCGGGTACCTGGGTTATTTTCAGGTATCTTACGTGACATCAATGTTCTCCATGTTTGTGGTAGTCTCTGCGATTCATCTCGCTTGTTAAGGCAGTTGGGGCGTTTTTCAATTTCGATTGCTTTCCGAATTATCCTGGCCTGGAGATTTTTATCCATAGCAATGGTCTTGGTGTTTTCGAAGCTTATTGTGTGGCCTGTTTCCTGTTGGTGTTTGAAGAGAGATGATGCTGGATCTGATTTGCGAACAGCTAGTTCATGTTCATAGGCTCTGTTGGAAATTCTTCTATTGGTCTGGCCGATGTAAGTTCTGGGGCAGTTTGAACATCGTATTTCATGTATGTCCTGTGCTTCATTGGGTATCGTGTCCTTGGGTGTTCTTAACATAGTGGAGATTTGGTTGTTGACTGTGAATACTGTCTTTACGTTATGTTTCTTCAGAATTCGGCTCACTTTGTCAGTGACTCCATGGATGTAGGGGAGAAAAGCTTTTGGCTGGATGGTCTGTTCCTCGGGTAACTCGTGGGGTGGGGTACTACCAGAAAAGAAATAGTGCTAGAGCTGCTGCCCGTATGTTCCATGATATCATCCAGGAAGAAATGTACGACACAAATACGTTTCGGAATTACTAAACAAATTTATGGAAACTGGATCTATTGCCAATAAAAACCGTAACCGTTCGGAAGTTGTTAACGTTTAAACCATTTGTATTGCAGTTTCAGGGCACGTTGGACTAATGGAAAATTCGCAATCTCTTACTAAGTTATCTCGAGAATCAGGAATCATTCGTACAACTGTTTTTAGGATCCTTCATAAGTACAAATTCCATCCATATAAGATTAGACTAGTTCATGAATTGAACGAAGATGATTTCGATAGACATATCAAGTTTTGTGAAAGTCTCACTGAACGGATCAACTTGCATCAGAATCTCTTCTATAAAATTTGTTTTTCGAATGAATGTACGTATAGTTTGAATGGAGAAGTGAATCGGCAAAATTGTCGATATTGTAGTGATACGAATCCTCATTAAAAATAATCTAGATATTGCAGAATCATTTAACAATTATTTTATTGATAGCGTACAAGAAATTGTGGACACTATTGATCAATCTGATTCACTTCATGAGAACAATGTTATATCGATTAACAACTCCTTCNATTTAAGTCAGGGTGGTATGGAGGAAGTCTTAGAACGGTATGCCCGTGAGCGCTCATAATTTCATCAATTTTATACATTTTATATCGCGGTTTATGAATTTTAATTAGACTATTCAAATCAATCTTCAACATATCTTCTGTAAAAGGTACACATTGCAAATTGTGATAGGAAGCATTGTCTATCACTAAGACACTCTTTAGTGGTAAATTAGGAATAAGCATCTCCTGTAGCCATTTTATATATTTCGTGAAGTTCATCTTGTTATGATAATCACCTGACTTCGTATTTGATCTAAATTTCAAACTAGTATTTTTCACAAAACCATTTTCACTGCCGCATTCACTATTATTAGTGTTTGCCCTTTTGATACTGGATATATGTAAACCTTCACTAGTGTTACCATTCCAGGTTTTTATGTGGGTATGCGAGGAAAGAATATAGGTTTCGTCCATGAAAACTATGGGTCGCTTTTCTTCTCGAAATTTGTTCTTAACTTAACGATATCTGGCTTTTCCATTAATAATTTTCGATTATTTTTCGTTTTCCTCCAACGAAATCCCATGTCATGCATAATTTTCCTCAAGCTTTCGTTATTTTGGGATTCAAGTTTATGATGTATGCGCCGAAGAGTTGGAACCTTTTTATCGACAGTATAATAGTTAATATTAAATCTTCGAAGCAATCCTTTATCAAAACCATTTAAGTTAGTTGTAGCTGCGGTTTTCTTTCTTTTTATATTTGGCGTTAAAAAAGCAGCGGCTTCTCCATTCTCAATCGATTTCATTTCCTTCGAATTTTTTTGTATACTACTTAAACTTACTCCAGTTGCCATAGCAGCTCTTTCTTGAACTTTTTTAAAGTCCTTTATAGGTTTATTTTCTGTCGCTTCTCGTTGCATAAAAAAATTACATTGGCTATAACATTGACTGACTGGGCTGTTGGCGTTTCCATTTCTGTCTTCTGCGCACAGTTAGAGTGGTATCAAATTAAGATTTTGAAACTTTTTCTTATTCTTGACAAACTGTATCACAGACTACTTCCAATTAGTACAAAGCGGACTAAAGTTCCATAATTATTAGTGAAGGTGATATCATCTTTTCTTGCTAAAACTTCATCTATAGGATCGACAAAAGCCTCAGTTCCCGAATATCAAGGATAAACGAGATTTCTCAAGGCGATTCGTTGCAAAGCCAAGCTTCTGCATCAACCGCTGAACGAAAGTCGTCCTCTGTCTACCACTGCAGCTTTCACTGCAAGGCAACTTGATTGATTCATGAGCCAACACCAGAAAGCGCTGTTTCGACCCGCTAAGATCTCATCAATAATGCTAGACTGAACTATCCAGAAAAAACTTTCGACGTAAATGATATTGTGCACTCTTAAAGTTGGTGGTACTTTCAGAGGCCAAAAAAACCAATACATAGAAATTAACCGGCAGCGAATTAGTCCACGTGGACTGTAGACTTGGCGGTTCGTATTGAACCGAGTTTTATTGGTTGGCTGAAGAAATTAAATTTGAAGTTATGTTACGATGACGAATAGAAATCGGGGAATGTGGGGATATTTAACGCCGTAGTGTTCAGTTCAGAAGAACTAATAGAATTAGAATGAATAGCTGAAATATCATTTATATGTATATTCATGACACGATATATCTTTGTTTTATTCGGAAGTTATTAATCATATCATGAGAAAAACCAGGAAGTAATAAATCCCCTTTAGATTTATTTTCAGTACCAAAATCCTTTTCCAACTCACTAATTTCTTTTAAGGCATCCTTCAAATTTGGTCCAAATTCAGATACGGGTTTAATCATTACATAAATCCAACCGATTTGTTTGGGACCTAAACCCTAAGTTTTACC